AGATGGCACATGATCAAATACAGAAGTTGGACGCGCAGGGAAGAGAGTAGTGATCGGGAACACCGTCCAAGCAACTCTTGCCAGAAGAGACAGGGAAAATCTGTTAGAAAAAAGGAATCATCTTGTGTTGTTGATTCACCCATCCCTCAACGACCAAACCCAGACAAAGGAAACAAAACCCCGCCAAAGCACTCTGGTCAAACCGAACAAAGGAAAGAAATGAATACCTGATCTTGTTGTTATAAACTTGATGGGGCTACATCATATTCATATAACCTTGGTGAAGTTAAGGCCGACCAGCTAGGGATTCAATCGTAGAAATATTGACAGAGAACTGAGAATAAGGAAAGGAAAGCACATTCAAGTAAAAGGTTCTGCCTCTCTAGAGGTGGGATTGGGGGATTGGGTGTTGGGAAAGAAGAATGGCAGAGAAAGGTATGGATGTTGGAGTGCTGAAGTAGGTTGCGTGTAGATTTGAGGTGAGGAGTGAATAGATATTCGGAGAATTGGGTGAGGGGACAGTTCCAGAGTCAGATCCATAGAAGCAGATTTCAGGGTTGAAGGGACAGTAGCGAACTGAAGGGAGGAGTAGCGAAAGGAGTAGAGAGCTCTGTTTTCTTTTCCATCTTGCATAAGGTTTGGCGTGGAAGAACTTAGTATTCTTATCACCATTTTTCATCCAGTCCACTCTCGACTGTTGTTTCCATTTGCAATGTTGTTTCCATAACATATCAGTTTTCTCTGCCATCAAAGCTCTTTTTTGTGCTCATAACTGCTCTGTTTCAAGACAAGTCCCAAGCTTCAGTAGGGACTTCTCAATTGCAGTCAATCTTTTCTTGATATTACCAAACTTCTCCTTGCTCCATGTCATTAGGGTTTGTTCGCATCTCCCCTATATATTCAGTATATTGCTTTCTTTTCCTTCTTTAATTGCAATCTCTATCACTTTCTTACACTCACAATCCCTTAAACAAAAAATTTCAACTCTTAAGTGATGTGATCCTGGAATGTGACCGAAAACCATTTCCATTGATGTTTAAAGAAGAAATCAAGTAGTTGGAAATTTGGCAAAGTCTCGGAAACCGTCTGAGGTACCTACTTTGGAGGCTCACTCGTTTTGTTTGGGAGGCATTCGAGGGAAGCTAGGAGTTGGAAATAAAAGTACAAGTCTCGATAAAGATCGTGAATGCGTCGGAGGAGAAGATCGAAGCTTCCTGGTCACCAAACGAGCAGCCAGAAGATTGTATGGTGACCAGTCAAAATCCACGGTCAGGAAGCCAAAATCCACGACCATCGAATTCAAGTTTAGACAATGGATTTTGATCAGGACAACTCCACGCCCAAGACACTCAAATCCACGACCATGGAATTCAAGGAGGAGACCGTGGAATTTGACTTGACGAGTTTTGTTACCTTTTTCGTATAGGATTCTTTTCCTTTTTGGTATTTTCATTAGGTTTCTTTTTCCAGGCCTATTTAAAGGGTTGTAAGACACGAATTTGAGCATGTTATGTTGAATAGAAAAAAACCCTTTTCGGTTCATTGAGTTATCACTCTTGCATTTTGTTGGTGGATCTCTAGCATTCGAGCGAGCTCTTTATCAATCAGGTATTCCCCTTGATTGTGGTCGAGTTGCTACCCATTATATTGTTCGAGCCTCTTCTCGATTTGTGTTGAATTTGCACGACAATTTCCGCCCTACCCTTTACTTTTCGAGTTGTTGAGAGAAAATTCAGAAAACCCCTAAAGAGATAGAAGTTGCACGACTTTGACAAAAAAAATCTAAACTTTCACGAGCTTGGGATTCTTATCATAAAGTGTCAACCCCACCTTATTCCTTCATCTTCATTTCCTTCTGTATCCACCATTATTGGATAATGATCCGACCCTTCCCACTCAATATGAGAAATTTTGTAATTGTTAAATTGATGTTTCCAATTAAGTGTCGCCACACATCTGTCTAACCCCAGTCATTTCCCGAAACTTCCTTGCCGAATCTTCTTCAATCACTCTGCCCCCTCTTTTGTCCCTACCTGATAGAATTTGATTGAAATCGCCAATACACACCCAAGGCAGGTTGTTTTCATTTTTTAAATTACTCAGCAGGGCCCAAGAAAGATGTCTCTCATTCTTATTTGGCCTTTCGTAGCATCCGGTTAACCTCTAGGGAGGTCCTTCTCGATTTGATACCCTCACATTAATATGATACGAAGACATAGACGACTTGGTGATCTCTATTTCATCATTCCATAGTAGTCCCAACCCCTGCTCGCCCTTTAGGGTGCAACTTTGAGTTCCCTTTTACAACTTCTTTTTCTTCATCGCTCAGCTTTGTTTCCATTAGGAACACAACATGTGGTGAATGTATTCTAATCAATGCTTTCATATTTGCAACCACTTTAGGGTCATGGAGACCTCTGACATTGTAGCTTATGATCTTCATCTTGATAGGCAAACCTTCCACCCAACAGATAATTCAATAGCTTCAAACCACTTTCACTATGGAGGCACAAAGATCTTCTCCACCAAAGGGAATAAGCTTCCTGAATCAGGGGAAATTCAGGAGTGAGAGGAATTCCCCCTCAAGAGCTCCCACTAAAGAGTAGACCGCAATATAACAACACCAAAACAGTTACCCTGATCCTGAATCAATGTCTAGTGGTCGGTATCTTGCGAAACTCTATAAGCGAGAACAGTGTTTCAAATAGAAGGGAAGAGAAGAAAGTCCCAAAATGTGGAAGGAAATGAGCAGATGAGCAACAATATAAAAAAAACCAACCCAACAAAGCTCCCAAATCTAAAGAGATCTCCAAAAATCATCATATTGAAGAAAGCCACTAGAACTCTTACTTAAAAGAGAAAATTCTTGACACAATTACTGTAGCTCTCACAGAGAAAGAGAAAACACTATAGCTCTCAGAGAGAGGGAGAAATCCTCCCACAAAAATGAAATTGTTTTGAGATAAGTTTGAATGATCTTGTTGACAATTAAAATCAAGATGATCGCGGTAAAATTCTTTGTACACTTCACTGATTTTTTCTTTGTCCAATGGATCTAGGAATCTCATTCCTTATGAAGTTAAATAATTATGCCCCCTTCTTTCGCGGCTACTTAGACCATCTCCAATCTCCATCTTTAAAATTGATTAGCAATTTCTACAAGTGGCCCCTACGGTCACATCATCAAATTTAGCAATTCTTCATTAGCAAATTCTACTCATCAACATCCCTAAAATGAATTAGCAATTTCCAAAATGTGTCCCGCAATCCCACTTACTATTATAAATCTACACAAACACTTCTCAATTGAAAAGTTATAAGCAAGAAAAATGAAAAAGAAAACAACTACTCATGTGGCATTGCTATAAGAATTGCCAATTTAGCAATCTTGCTCTTTGCCCTCTTACAAATGATGCAATGTCGAGCACATCTACTATGCTCTAAAGTATTGGTGTTTTAATGTACAACTTAAAGTTGTATCATAACGTTAAATGTATAAGTTCAGGTTATACCATAATGAATTTGTACCATTATGTTATGATACAACTTCACAACTTGAAGTTGTACCATCACATAAAGGTACAAGTTCAAATTGTACCATAAAATAATTTGTACAAAAAGTATAGATACAATATGAAGTTGTACCATAATCATTAAAAATATAACTTCAAGTTGTACTATAAAAGCAAAAAACATATAGCACCAATACTATATAGCATTGTAAAATTAGTCTTAAGGCCACCTTCCTCGTGGGGAAGGAAATTTATTATTATTATTATTATTATTATTATTATTATTATTATTATTATAAAGTTGAAAGCAATTTGGGGTTGGGGATAACATGATCATAAGATTAAAAACACTATTATTGAGAAAATAATGATAAGATTAGAAGAATAAGCAAATAGTAGAACTACTACTTACTACATGCCATGGATAATTTCAAGTGGGTTTAGTACTTAAAGCAATTTATTACTACAATTGCAAATGAAGAAAAATTCCAGGATTTTATTACTATCTACAAAATTTGGAATCATTCATTCTGTGGCACGGAAATCATGTCCTTTTAGATTGTTTTTATTTATTTATTACGTATCCATTGACGAAATCATGATGAGATTAACATCGATAGTGTTGTTTATAGACTAATTCACCAATTAGTTTGGTGGTTTTATTTCGGTTTAATTTTTGGGGTACATGTCACGGTAATTTCTATAGTGTAATTCATATAGTTTCATGATTTTCTTTGTTTTGTAGCGTATATATATCTAATCTAATATGTAAAATGGTCTTCAAGAATCAAGGGCCTATGAAGATTATTACTACAAACAAGATTATTTTCTAACACACGCATCGTTGAGACTTGAGATCGAAAAGCACAAACGAAACGAGCAACAAAAGAAAACTCGGATCGCGAGAGTGGCTGCCGCAATAGCAATTTCCACAGAGCAAGTGGGTTAGTTGAAGAAGTTATCAGCAGTAGTTAGCAGTAGTTTATAAGGATGAATTCCCAAAATACACATGTTTTAAAAAAAAATTCTCAAAATACACACGTTATAATTTTTTTTTCTTCTAAAATATACATTGTTTGGCCATCACCGCTGTTGTCAACCGCAGTGAATGCATTCACCGCGGCAGACCAAAGCGGTGAATACATCCGCGCGGTTGACGGCCGCGGTGAATGCCTGACTTAACACTGAAACTTCAAACAAACATAACTTTGCGCTCGGTTATCCGATTGTAGCGAATTTTTTTTTATTCCATATAACTTTTCAAGATCTTTCAATCTAAAACAAGACTTTATCTAAAAAAAATGTCGTTTGTTACCCCGAACAAGCAATTTTTCTATTTTGCCAAACTTTGGAAAGACATAACTTTTACCTCCTCAATCCGAACGTGGTAAAGTTTTTTGTTATTGCGCATAACTTTTTAAGAACTACAACTTTTACAAGGAAATAATATTTTAAAAAAGAAGTATTTTTTGGGTATATGGGATTTTGGGAATAACTTTGCCTTTACTTTTCAAAAATCCACATACTTTCCAAAATTAGGGTTATAATAAAAGTTGTAGTACTTCAAAATTTATGCAAAATCGAAAAAAAGTTTCATGACATTCGGATTGTGGAGCACAAAGTTATGATCTTCCAAAGTTTGTCAAAATCGAAAAATTGCTCGTTCGGGGTAGCAAATGATTTTTTTTTGGGATGAAGTCTTGTTACAGATTTAAAGATCTTGAAAAGTTATGTGGAGTCAAAAAAAATTTCGCTACAATCGAATAACCGAGCGCAAAGTTACGTTTGTTTGAAGTTTCAGTGTTACTTCAGGCATTCACTGCGGCTGTCAACCGTGGTGATGCATTCACCGCTTTGGTCGGCCGCGGTGAATACATTCACTGTCAATTCACTGCGGTTGACAACAGCGGTGATGCCCAAACATGTGTATTTTGAGAAAATTTTTTATAACATGTGTATTTTGAGAATTTTTTTTAAAAACATGTGTATTTTAGGATTTTTTTTCCCTAGTTTATAATTATCTTTGGCCGCCTTCCATTGCAAATGACTGGGGTGGGTATTCTATTTCCATTTTCTCATGATCGCAAATGACTGCCTTCTTCGTCGATCATCATCATCATCCCCTCCAAAACCTGTCGGCAAAACCTGAAATTTGGATGGATAGCTTCTGTTCGATAATGTAATGGCCGTTGACTCATCTTATCTTATGAGCAATGCAACTCCTGCTTCCTCGCCCCTGATCCCAAGCGAGTTCAGGATGATTCCATCTTTGGCTGTTCAGTCCACTTCTTTGCCAGATGCCTCGACAACCATGATATACAGAACAATGCGCATCAATCTGGCCGCCCTGCCCTAACACACCGGATTTCCCAAATTGATCTTGGTCCGGATGTCTCGTAGCCATCTGTATAGAAAGCAACATCACAATGTTTCAGACACATCTACCACTTAAGCTACTTATTCAAAAATCAATTGCATCTTCCTAGCCCAAACACAGACACACAGACACACACACGATGGAACTTTGGGGGATGGAGTTAGGGTTTCATCTTAGATACCAGATTCTACATCACCATATCCATCATCTGTAGAGAACTTCACTAACCAGATAAGCTATGTAACCCTTGAAGGCTTATGATCCAATTTATCTACTGGCAAAGATGGCTAATCCCTTAAAATCATCCTCACCAATCCTCACACTAACCTCTAACACACATCTTGGAGCTTTCAGAAACCCTGCTTGCCCTGGAGAGAACTTCTAACTTCAAAGCTCTTAAGAACGAATAGCCAAAGCAAAACCAGATACAATGTCCCCAATATCAACACAACATAGCCATGAAAAGTTGAGAACTTCAACTGCCACAGCGCTCAACCACAAAGAACCAACAACTCAAATGGAGTCTATCTGCCATTAATCAAAGAAGCAAATTAAAGCAGTTTCTTAGGTCAACACTCTGCACGGGGTAGATGCTAGTTTACCGATTCTGGACGAAATGATCAAGTCCAACCCAAACCCGTCAACTGATGCAACCAAAACCACTGAATTTGCAGGTATTCGGTGTTCTTCCCAAGACGAAATACCAATTTCATCATAGAATTTGTTGGTAAATTGGGCGAGAATCTCTGGGAAGCAGGAAATGGATCCATGATCGAAACTCAGGCAAATCAAGCTATGGAGAAGAGTCAACATTCTTTGGAATATCTGCTGTGTATTACCTTTACCAAACATTTGGCAAACACAGCCGGAAATCAACTACAGCTGATCAAATTACAGAAGATTATATGCCCTGGACGATTCAATCCAAACAGCAGGAAGGCGAAATGATACAGAGGAAGGGCATGCGTGGAGAGAAATCACCGCTTGAGACCCTTCATTCTAGCAGCGAGAGAGGAGAATAGACAGGCAACTCGTTCTTGTTGCTCGTGGAACCGTCGCTTGAGATACGACTCGAGAATCTCCATTACCGAGACAAACCGCCTCATTTCCTCCAGCCGCCGGCTGAGCTCAGCTTCCCGAGCCCTAGCACGCTCGAGCCTTGCCTCCGTCTCGGCGAGTCGCCCGCGTAGATCTTCGATCACCGATTCGCTGTCGTCTTCGTCTTCGGTGTCGTCGCCCGGCGACCGGCGGTTGCGGGAGCGGTGGGTTAGATCTCGCGGCGATAAGGAGCCGCCTTGACGTCCACAGCACATCTTCGAGTGAGATTCCGCTTCTTTGGAAGATCGGAAGGGAATTTGGGAGCAAGAGGACAGCACAGCTATTTGTGACGAAGACGATGCTAATAGTGAATCGATGAACGGCCGCCGATAAGAAAAAAATTGGTTTTGGTTTTTTCCTTGTTCTGGTTTTGTTTGGGGAGGTGGTGGTAGTCTGGTAGTTTAGGTGGCAGACCAATCTGGATCGTCGGATGAGGTAACCGCCTTATAGTCTTCTCAAGGTTGTCAAACCCGATTAAGCCTTCATTTCGTTTCGACAAATGGTTTGAGATTTTATGGGCGGATCAACTTTGACTAGTTTAAGTCGATTTTGCCATAATATTTAAGAAAATCTCTAATACCAAATAAATTATATATATGGTACAGACTAGCGTACGACAGATATACGTTGTACACCTGCGTTCACACTACCATACTTCTGTCGAGTTTTACTATTTAGAGCATGAATTAAACGGCGATTGGAGCATGATACTATATCCTAACCTCTAATGGGTGAACCTCAGTCCCTAATTTTCTAACCTGAGCCACAAGATTTATTTAATGTAAAAAAATAATAACCGACGGTTCTAATTCAGCGAAATATATTAAAGTGCAAATAACAAGTGTGAACACAGACGTACAACGTATGACAGGCGTACACTAGCCTTATATATATAACGGTGAGATCATATGGAGCATATTATGCTCCTGGAGCATACCAGTCGTTTCCATATATATATATATATGGTGACTTCTATGGTGCCCAGGGCAAAATCCGGGTACGGGTACCTTGGCCGATCTTAACCATTCGTTTTCAATCTCCACGGCTCACGTTTGTTAAACCTTCCTGCGCACTAAATAACTAAACAAATTACAAAAAGGCTCTTGCCGCGTTAAGTTTTTTTTCATCCTAGTCCAACTAACTGACCCGATTGAATTAAATTGATTAAGACTGCAAACCCAATTGGGTAGACCCACTGCCGCCCTAACCAATTTCCAGTCCCCTTAACCAATTACACGATCCCTCTCTGGTCTTGGAGGGACACCCCTTCACAGTTCCAAGAGACGCTCTCCATCCAATTTGAACTCCCCAACTTAATCATCTTTTTGAATCCCAATTACTTGCATCCACATTCGACGTAGCTTGAATTTCCCAATTTATTTTGTCTTGTTTCTTCTTCGCCATTTTATTTCCCCTCGCCTATCTCTTTCTAACACGATTACGGCGACCGTGTCTATTATTTTGTTCATCGAACTTTTCATTTGCAAAAGAACCCTTGAAAGAGGTTTGCTAACCCTAGGGTTCATGTCGCTAGTGCTTTGTCATCTTGGCTTAGCGTTATTGTGATTTTCTCGAACCTTATATCTCTCGGTGAAATTTAGGTTTCCTGATATGTAGTGTTCGTCTCGCCCAGAGGATTGAGGAAGAAGATGAAGAACACATAATTTGATTCGAATCGGATGGAGAGGTCTCCTTAGTTTGTGTTTATGTATTAACGGTGCGTTTAGGAGTAATTCTAGTTGGACTAGGTCTGATCATTGATTTTTGCAGGCTTTTAAATAAGATTCAAACGTGGGCTTGTACATGACCCATGCAATATTCAAAAGTGGGCCTGGAACGTGCGAGCCCATTTGTTTTCTCCTGCAGTATCAATTCGTGCGCCAACCCTAGTTTAACTAGCTTTACTTACCCTAGTTTAAGCTACACGAGTTAACATCATCATTACTACATATCTTCCGAAATCTTCTAACTCTTAACATTCCAGACTCAACCGTCTCCATCACACTCACGTCTCCACACTCAACCCCCACGATCACTTTTTCTTACACCTACATTCTCTCTTTCCTTCATCTTCACCTTCCCTTGTTCCTTCTTCCTCTGACTCCATGGCAAACAAAGGTAAATCTTTTGAGGAAATGGGGATACTATCTCTTTCAAACGATGACTGCCGATCCACCCCAAGTCTCGGGGACTATCTTTCATTCACAAGCAATACATCAATTGTGGCCGAGTACGAGTTCATCCACCTGAGTCCTTTCCCTGCAGAAGTGAAGAAGTTAATTAAAAATCTTGGCTGGGAAAAGTTCATTGATCTCCGGAATCGAGGAAGCACCAGTCACTGCCCGCATGTGGTGAGGAAGTTCTACCACAATTTAGAGCTGTCTGGTCCCTGCGATTCTCATCTCGTGTCGATCTTCCTGGGTTATAGAGTCTGCTTCCAGCCTCATCAGTTTGCTGAGATCCTCGATCTCCCCGCCGCAGGACACCCCATTGATAGCAGAAGCGATCTTGGGAGGCTGTACGATTTTGAGTTTGAAGTTGAACTGGAGAAACTAACGAAGGGGCGCATCCAAGCTTCTTTCCTCCCAGATCCTCTTCGATTCCTCCACTGGATGATCGTCAACTGCTTCATGCCAAGGTACCGTGGTCATTCGATTATTCGTAAACTTGACCTGTTTATCCTTGTGCAAGCTCAAAGAGGTGTTCCTGTTAACCTCGCATCTCTCATGTGCCTGAACATGGTTGAGGCTGCTCCTAGATGGGAAAACTGGTACACTGCCTTTCCATATGCCACCTTCTTGACCACCTTTCTTGAAAGGGTTGGGATGGATATTGGGGTTTATGCTAAGGAGGACCAGTGCGCCTATTTGCCAGTCTACCGTATCGTCGAATTGACCAATACTTTTATTGATCTTCGGCATACGGAGCATGAAAAGACCCCTGAGGCATCCTCAAGCAAACGTCCTCGGCTTACATGAGAGTCGATTGATGCAGGGCGGGGTGGAGCGTTGGAGCAGCAAAGGGGCCAGCATTGGATATCTTTTGTTAATAAGTTTACTCAGGCTTTGTTGGTTTTTTTTTCCAGTCTTATTCTCCAGCACTCAAAACTGTCAGGTACTGAGGGGGGCCAGTACATCATCTGACTAGGAAAGTCTCCCGTTTTTTTAATTATCCAGACAAATATTTTTCTATGCATGCAGTATTTTGTGAATTTGCCATGGCTAATTTTCCTAAGACAGGTGACGAGATGCAGTAATGGTCATCCCTAAGCAAGGAGGTGCAATTGCATCCTACACTTGCTATGATGTGAGAAGCTATTGCAAGGGTGCAAATTTGCTTGCAATTGAAATTGGCCCACGAGTGGGGACCATTGATGAAATTGCAATGTTTTCTCAAAATTATAGAAGTGGAAGTAGGGGACTACCTATGAAATTGCAAATGAATTTCATTGTGGGAGATTTTAATCTGCTTTTGTTCTAAGCAGTTCCAATTAGGTCGAAGAATGTGTTACTTATTTAATCTTCATTTTTTAATGGTTTTCGAAAATTATGGTTTTATTTATATTTGGTCACAAGTATAGTGACGATGATAGGCGTGAATAGTATGGATATGGCTTGAGTATAATAATTTTTTATCTATGGTGATTTTTTCCCCTTTTTCATCAAGACTCATGCTTCTTTTACCCCCCTGTGAATCTATCATGCTTCGTTTATAGTAAAATATCCTTTTAATTATACACAATAAAGAATCCATTAATTATGTAAGCCTTTTTATTGTATTTAATACTACAATGAATTCTCTGACTAAAAGGGGAGTGAAAACATCGTTGGTGGAAATTCAAGGAATGGAAGCCTTTCCATATCCTAGGAACATTTAATTAATTACATAAGAATTTTCTATCTGCCTTGTACGGGGTTTGGTCATTAATTATACTGATTGTGAGCCAATCAGTTGTACCTTTTGGGTTACCTATACATGAATGCAAATTTAATTATACGATAGGGAGCCAATCAGTTTAACTATACATGATCCCAATTAAACCTCTCTACAAGATACAATGGCTTGAAGCCTTGAACAGAAGCAGCCTCACTCACAAGTTGGAAGCTGGAATTTTGGTGAAGTCCTTTTGCCATTTCCACGAAAAAACAAACCAAACCAAACCAAATATAGAGAGCATTCACAAAGACCAAAAACCAAATATAGAAAGCATTCACCAAACCAAAAACCAAATCAAAAACCAAACCAAAAACCAAACATAAAAAGCATTCACCAAACCAAACCAAAAACCAAATATAAAAAGCATTCACCAAACCAAAAACGAAATATAAAAACCAAAAATAAAAAGCATTCACCGAACCAAATAAAAAACGGTTGTCCATCATCCTGTGAAAAAAAAACATAACTGTTGTCCATCATCTTGCAAACTAAAACGAAAAATCAGGTTGTTCTTGGGCTCGTTGACTGGGTTTCCTTGTGCTCTTCTCTTTCCTTTTTCCTCCTTTCATGGGTTTTCTTGTACTCTTCCACTGCAGCTTCAACTTGAGGTGCAACTCTTCTTGCTTCCGTGACCACCATATGCCTTATGTAGTTCATGGGCTCTCGAACAAGGTACAAAGCGATCTGCATCCTCCTCACTTGAGTGCATGGCTAACAACATCAACAAACATGGTGCTTACCGCATTATTCAAAAATAACAATCAATTGTGGTTTTCTAATATGCGAATTAGAATTGTCTTTACCCAAATATAAGAGGAGTCCCAGCTTGCGCCATACATCCACATGCATACCCATACTCCACTGTCAGACCTACATAAAATAAAAGTATTGCGTGATAAGAACCAAGTTGATAAGTCGTCGTTTAATATCACAAAAAATGGGCATACTTACCGATGAAGTTGTTCTTGATCCTTTGAAGGATTTGGGTACGAAAACTCCGCAATCCTTGGTGGCGACAATCCCGGACCTTGTTCACGATAGAGAATCTTCCACAAGGCTTGCATAAATCTCATCTGTACAAATTAAGAAACGTTTGTACTTAGAAAGAGTTATTTACATTTTTTTGCGTTATAACGGCACAATGTCACAAATTTACCATTGTTTGAACAGATTGTAGTCGAAAGGAATTGCGGTCTTCATTTGGTTGTGGATCCAAGATATGGACTTCTTCCTTGTCCAACTTAATGACAGCCAAGTACCAATGGGCATTATCTCTCATCGGAACACACACCTACATATGCGGAAATTGTCAACACGTATTAAAAAAATAAACTGCAAACCATGTAATACTTATTAAGACGAACAGTTTACCTTGTTCACCATATTGATTCGACTAAGGAATTTTGATTCGTATAGGTCTAATGCCCTCTTGGGTGTTATTCCACATGAAATCACTAGTTCCTGCCCATGTGGTAGTTGCACAATTGAAATTTTGTCAACACAATATGATTCACGTTAAAAACACATGTGTTGTAATTTTTTTGGTGAGAGGAAATTGTCATTAAGTATAATCGGACCACAACCTGTAGTTCAGCAGGCAGATAGCACACTCCTTTTCCGTCCTTGGAATTTGTCCACAACTCTTCTAGAGTCAAGTGGCAGGCCATCGCTGTTATAACCTAATATAACATGGACAAAAAACACTTCATGATACTATCGAGTTGTTATAAAATAATTCTACGTAGAAAACATTGATAGTGGACAAACAAAACAAAATTTTGGAGTTCCGTTGATTACTTCAGCATCTACGAATGAGCGAGGGCTTAAGGACCACAATGACTTCCTCGTACAAGAGTTGTTAGAGGTTTTGACCAATACTTCGTCAGGTGGCAGATGGGCTAAAAATATATAGTGAGAAAGCTGGATTTGCTCATCATCGTATTCCATAGCGGTAGGTAGCTTAAACTTCAAAACAACCTGGAATAGGGGCCACAAATAAACACGAGTGGAAATGCATTCGTTATGACGGAATAACGGCAAAGAACACTTCAATGGCAAACATGACACCTTTATTACCTTGTCAACAGAAGGTAGACAAATACTTTTTCCATTTGGCTTCTTTGGTGTGACCTCGGAGTCAGATTCATCGTCCGAAATAAAAACGATGACTGAAGCAGGAGTGGGTGGAGTGCTTACACCTTTGGGTATCCTTGGTTTCTTTGTTGGAGTCACAAATTCGGCTGTCTCCTACAATGACAGTGAACCTGCGATTAATAAATTAACTAGAATGAATTTCAATGGTAAAAAGAGCTATTATACATACCACAAGCTTGGACGAAGAGCGAGTAATTCTCTTATTTTCCATGTTGTGCCTCTAATCTAAGCTTTACTCTGTACTCAAAATCGCGGCAAAGAAGGATATGGAACCACTGCTCTACCGATGAAGGTTAATTATATATACAAGGTTAGGATAAATTGTGGCGCTATATTTTTCCCGCGAAAAAATAGTTAGGGTTTAGTCTAAGGTACATGAACTTGGGATAAACATGGGTAGTTATTAAACCTAAAATTAAAAATATACTTTTTTCGATCGAATAAAGAATTGAGTTATTAATGGGGATAATTATTAAGTGGCCCATTGAAGCATTAATTCGGCCATCATTCCCAGTAGGGTTTTGTAATCTACGTCCTTGGTTCCCCAAAATTTCCAGCAGTGACAATGACGTCGGCGGCAGACTCACCATTGACGTCGGAGGAAGTCCTAGTATTGACGTCGGAGGAAGTCCAAGAAAACGCTGGTGCCGGAGCCAGTGACACCACCCAGGATGATAATGTCGCCGATCTCATATTTCTACAGCCTGAAGATATTAAAAAAATGAAGTTCGATGATACAGAAGAAGCCTATGATTTCTACATGGACTACGGGTTAGTCAAAGGCTTCGACATCAGAAAATCAGACATTGGTCGTGATAAGAACAAAGTTATGATATTGCGTGACTATGTATGCTCTGGCGAGGGAAAGAGGCGCGTGAAGAGCACAGAACGAAAGAGAGAAGCAAGAGGGGAGACCAGATTTAACTGCAGAGCCAAGATGCGTGTTAAACAAGACAATGTCGATGGGAAGTGGTATGTGCACCAGTTTGATGATGTACACACACATGAAACGATCCCCAGAGAATATAGACACTACAAGAAAGGGAAACGTCGTATGAGTGATGCAGTCAAAGCAGCGATAAATTTTAGAAGAGCTGCAGGTATGAAAACTTCTCAAATTGTGAATCTGGCCGTATCAGAAGCAGGAGGCTACGACAATTTGGGGTACACGAGGAAGGATGCATATAATTATGTGGACAAAGAGAGGAAAGAACAAATCAGTGAAGGTGATGCCGCAACAGCCCTAGCCTACCTGCAAGCTAAATGCAGCGCGGACGAGCATTTCGTTATTGAACTAAAGAAGGATGACGACGACCGGCTTATTAACATTTTATGGGCCGATAGTATTTCTGTTGCTGATTATGCATGCTTTGGAGAATTACTGTCATTCGATGCTACTTACAAAAGGAACATTTCACTTTGATCGTTGGACTAGGGATATGAGGGAGAATGAGTGTCATGCTGATTTTGAATCCATTCATCGAGAACGAACCATCACAAGCAATGTCTTAGTCTCACTTCAGAAGAGTGGAGCGGCGGTTTTCACAAAGAACACATTCTTCTTATTCAGAGACGAGGTTGAAAAGTCGGCATGTTACATAAGGTTGGAGACAGAGCGATCGGAAATTGAGCGTGTGTACAAGGTCAAGGTGTCTGGCATGGATAAGGTTTTTCAAGTCACGTACGCAGTTGAACCCTTTGCAATGCAGTGTAGTTGTAATCACTACAATTATATGGGAATACCATGCCATCATATTGTACTGAAAGAAGAGAGCATACTGGAACTTCCTGAAGGCCTAGTACGTCGAAGATGGTCAAAGAAGCCGAAGACACTAGAGAGCTTGGACGAAGCAGACATAATAGATGAATCTCAACTTTTCGCATTAAGGTTTGCCATGACTATCACTTTTAATTTTTTTTATATTGGTTCGAAGCTAGGTGAACATTAATTTTACTCACTTTGTATAAAATATTGTG